ACCTTCCTTCCGAGGAGTGGCTGGTGGTTTTGAACTGCCAGCCTTCTGGTTAGCAGTCAAGTGCCTTAGGCACTATGCTACCAGAGCTCCCAAGGCAAGAAATTAAGTAGTTCTAATTGGCAACAAATGTAAATCCTCTTTGAAGGTATACATCCTCATAATAGGCCTTACAGAATTTCCACAGATAAAGTCTCTCAAAATGGGCTCTCACTATAAAATCACAAAACATACAAGGAAAGAAGCTGCCAAAAACAAAGAGTCTTGAAGAAACAACAAACAGCAACACAAGCCACTCCTCAATAGGAACTTCACATAATGGAATTACTGGTTATAGGTCATAAAGTAAAGTAAGCATGTTCAAACAAGTTAAAGAAATAAAAATTAGGGTTCTAAACAAAACGAAGGAATAAGCTGTTACCAAAAAAGATCAGAGCAGACTTAAAAAACAAAAAGAACTTTTAGAAATGGAAAATATAGTCACTGAAATGAAAAATCCAGTGGATATGTTTTTTAGCATATTAAACATAGCTGGAGAGAGACTAAGTAAACCGGAAATAAGATGAAAGAAATTATCCAAAATGAAGCTCAAAAAGACAGAAAAAATGAAAAAGAGTAAGAGTCATGGAGAACAGAATGAGATTCACATGATAAACAGGCATTACAGAGAAAAGAATGGCTGCAAATTTTTCATAACTGATGAAAGTCAGTGCTAACTCACAAAAAAAGGTAAAAGCTTATAAATTTTAAAATGTAAATTAGTGACCTTTCTTCTGTCACAAATAACTGGTTACCAGTTAAAATAAAATTAAATAAGAAGGAAAGAAGCAAAAGATCAGCCAAACAACTCAGGGGAAAAGTGAAGAATTACCAGAAATACAATGTAACAGCTTCCTACCTTTAAAACTCTCATGTAATGAGCCAATACAGTCAGTGAATAGCTGCACTATACTTGAGGCCACAACAGCATCACTCTCCAACCAGGGGTAATGTCGTTGGTTGCTATAAAGAAATGAAACATACACTTAAAGAGATGAAAGCACCATCATTTCAGTTACTCTAGGTCCCAGAGTATAGGGCTTACTTTAGTCCTAGAAAATCCTGCATTCTGTATCTCTAACACACAGTTAAACCATCACCTTGAAGACTGTGAGCTGTGGCTTGTAACATCAACTATGTAATTTTATTTATGTTCCTTCCTTTTTTTTTTTTTTAATCAATGCAATTAAGTTTCAGAAGTATGCCATCTAAAAACACTATCAAATTAACACCTTCTTACATCTAATTTATACCCTTCAGCCCATCCCTTACGGGTTTCAACCCTTTTCTCTACTCAAAGGCATGGAGGGAAAATCAAATTCATGTAACAAAAAGATGGCCAAAAATTCAGAGACAGAAAATGGACAAAGAAAACTCTTTGTATGAAATACTTAATTTCTGAATCTAGTCCTGAAAACTCAGTATCAAAATAAAGTCCATTAATTCATCCTTGAAATAAACAGACAGATTTCACTGTAGTCAGCATTCTAAATATACCAAAAAAAACAAACTCACTGTCATCAAGTCAATTCCAACTCATAGCAACCCCTTCTGGGTTTCTAAGGCTGTAAATCTTTATGTAACCAGACTGCCTCATCTTTTTTCCACAAAGCAGCTGGTAGGGTCGAACCACTGACCTTCTGATTAGCAGCCAAAAGCCTTAACCATTACACCACCAGAGCTCCTATTCTAAATATAGTCACTATAAAAATCCCAAAGCTTGCAAATTGTTTAAGGATAGCCTTCTAACAAAAACAAAGATCCAGAACCTTTTTATGTTTCCTTCAAACAGCTCTTGAAGCAACAAGAGTTAAGGCAGAAAGTCTTGAAACAAGAATCCAAAGACCTGAGCTCTAGTCCCAGTTCTGGCACTAACCAACTGCAGAACTTAAGCAAGTTCTCTGAGTCTTGGGATCAAATTAATTAATGTTTGTGAAAACACTTTAAAAACTGATGTTTACTAAGCACTTGTAATTTTTATAAAACTCTTGTCAAGTTCACCTAGCTTCCAATTGTAAACTTTTAGGGAAAAAAAGACTCACAAGGCAACTCATTGCATATAGCTAGCTCTACATCTCTACATAGTGCCTAAGGCATTTGACTGCTAACCACAAGGCTGGCGGTTCAAATCCACCGGCCACTCCTCAGAAGGAGGAAGACTGGGCAATCTACTTCCATAGTGATACCACCTTGGAAACCCAAGGAGGGGTCGCTATGAGTCAGAGCCGACTCTACAGCAGTGAGTTTTTTAGTTTTTGAGACATCTCTATATATTTAAAAGCTCAAGAAATAATTCTTTCATTTAATTTTAGAGTTTCATGTTAAAAAAAGCTATTCCCACCCAGTAATTTTATAGCCAGCTTGTTGCAAAAAATAACTTATTAGTAGAGAAAATTAATTTAGTTTCACATTTTATAGTGTTACTGTATTAAAATCCAGCCCTTAGGAGATGAGCCGGTGACGGAGCACGAGGCTCCACCCCAGGGAGCATCCATTTTTCTGAAATTAGGTATCAAAACACTTCCAACTACTTTACTGTGGAAAACTAGAAATGAGTATCCAGTTTTACTTCAAAATTACTATCCAGGTAAAAAAAAAGTTACTGCTGTCAAGTTGGTCCCAACACATAGCGACCCCTCCTTGGGTTTCCGAGGCAGTATCACTATGGAAGTGGATTGCCCAACCTTCTTTCCGAGGAGTGGCTGGCGGTTCAAACCTTCTGGTTATCAGTCAAATGCCTTAGGCACTATGCCACCAGAGCTCCCAGTATCCAGCTAACAGCTCTAACCATACTACACTAATACTTGCATAAGTAGAAAATATCTTATGTTTCATAAAGAAGAATTTTCTAAATTCTTCTTTCCTAATTGGCCAATCCAAAAGGGCCCTACACTAAAAAATCAATCTGTGAGGCTCATCACCTTTACCAAATCACTGTTAGAACTTTAAATCTGTAAATTTCAAAGGAATTCAAATAGCTAAAAAACAATTTACCTTTCAGTGTCCTCTAAAACCAGGATCCATGGCTTAAAGAGCTGGATGATCACTGAATGTAGCAATCTCAGCACTAAAAGAAAGCAAAATTTTCAGAGGCAAAAAACAAGCTCAGCCTTTGTCAGTATCCTCGATAATATATAGAAAATCTACCTTTTATCTATAGGCTTATAAACCTCTGTTGATATACAAACAACATGCTCAGTAAATTGTGTTTTAATTTGCTACAATAGAATTTCTCTCAAATGAAGAATTTTTATTACAACACAATGTTATGAACAATTTTATCAATGTATTTTTTTCAAGATAAATGCTTAAATATCCAGAGCTCTTTCCTTAGAGAAAGAAACAAAAGAAAGAGCTGAAGATTGAAACTTCTTTGTGCTAATCCTACAAAGGAGGGGCAGAGACAAGCTGTAGCAAGTATCCACTATGTAGTGAATACAGGTATGAAACATGTGGGTTCATACCTGCACTCTAAATTCTCTTCTCCTGACATTCAGATAACTGGTTTGATCACAGAGATTTAAATCTCTTAACGTGTCTCTTCAAATACCTTCTAACAGCAGGTCAGAAAATCTAGCTCCGTATTCCACTAAAAGTGTATTACCAGTTTTGCTGCTGGCAGATGGGTCTTGGGCCAAGCAGGCCATTTCAGAGTCAATCAGCCTTTTCACAAGATAGCCCAAGAGTGTCTTCACATCAGCCATGTAAGGACTCCATTTTGAGAATAAGCCAAAACTCTTAAAGTCCAACTTGGATAACCGAAGCTTATAAAAAAAGTTTGAGAGCCATTGTATAGTCTCCATTACCTAGAAGAAAGTGATGAATCAAGCACGCTTACTGAATGTCTACTTTTAGGAGAATAAGAAGATAGACTTCGATGGGGGCTACCCTAGGTCTCTGATTTTATAAAAGAGTTGCAAAGCTACCTAACATCACAAATAGTAGGTTTCAAACTCTTTCTAAAGCAGTGGGATCATTATTTCTAATAACTTCTCATGTAGACCTGTATCAGATAAAGTTGGCAAAATTTAGAGCTCTGTGAGGTACTGCATGAAAACCCAACTGATGGAGCCAGTGGGTTAAGAGTCAGATAGGCTATGGTAGGGAGGGAAGGTTTACACAGGGGGATGGGCTGGGCTGGTCTTGGAAAGATGAGCAAGAATTAGTCTCAGAGTGTGAGAGGAAAGTAATGCAGGAGAGGTCATGGTGAAGTAAAGGACCGACTAAAACCACAGGGCACTTAAAGATAATACACAAAAGAGCGACATTTCAAATATAAATTTTAAATGTGCTTCAATTATTTAGAAAATAAATAGCAAAGGAAATGGAAAAGAAATGCACAGACAAAATCTTCACAGACCAAAAGCTACCCACCTGCTTATCTGACAAGAGAACATCTGGAGAGTTTTGCAGCACCGTGGTCTCGGCAGAAGCTGCCCCCTGCTGGCCGTCTGGGGTGCAGCAGCCCAAGGCTCTCAGAGTGGCTTTCCAACACTCGGGACTCAACAGCTGCTCAGCAGAGCCTTAGTGGGTAGACAGAGAAAAACAAGTCAGTGTCTTTCTTGAATTAACTTTCTCAACTTAAAACACATGTACTTTACACAGAACTAAAAATTAAATAAAAGTCCAAAACAAATTCATAAGGATCCCTGTAGTGAAGAGGCCATTTAAACAACTGAGAACCTGGACATTTGACTTTCCTTGTCCCTAGTAACCCTGCTTACAGTGAGCTGGAACCTGGGAGAGAAATCCTACCTGCCTGGCCCTAACTGAAGAACGACAGAGGCCATTCTCCAGGCTAGAAGATAATGGCTACACATGGGTGTGAGAGAAACAGTGGCTGACAGGAAAGGGACACGGGGTGTAGGATGCAACTCCAGATACAGACTTTCTTGGGAAGGAGTCTCACACTTATCCCTAAAACTTCAGTCCTACAATCAGCAGAACAGAAGCAGTGGTGGTTCAGTGGCAGAATTCTTGCCTTCCATGGGGACACCGGGTTTGATTCCTGGTCAATGCATCGCATGCACAGCCACCACCATCTGGTCGCTGGAGGCTTGTATGTTGCTATGACGCTAAACAGGTGTCTGCAGAGCTTCCAGACTAAGGTGGGTTAGAAACAAAGGCCTGGTGACCTGCTTCCAAAAACGGCCAGTGAGAACCCGCACAATGACGCAACACGCAGTCAGGGAGTGGCGCAGGACCAAGCAGTGTCTGATTTTGTTGTACATGGCATCACCATAAATTGGGGGCTGAATTGACACAGATAACACCACCACCACCACAATACCAAAAACCTAAACAAAGATACAGAAACAGAATGGAAAAGTAGAGACTACCAGCTAGTAGTTCCAACTAATCCCAACTCTGTGACTTAGAAATGTCACATGCCAGAGGACAGGAATAATACCTCTTCAAGAACCTCCAGCCACAGTTGGCATGGGGATCAAAGAGGGTAATGCAGGTTCTCCTGAGGGAAGGGATAATGAGGTCAGTTGCAGTATGTCAAGCGTGAGGTATCTATGAGACAGAGTTTTTGTCTAATGGCTTCTGTGGCCTGGAACTTAACACAGAGGCCTTGACTCAAGCTACAGGTGTGGGAGTCATATACCTCTACAAGATGGTAGTGAAAGCAGGGAAAACAACGGACTCATCCAGGGACTAAAACAGAGCAGAAGAGCAAAGGGTAGGGCTCTAAGAATACCAACATGGCAACCAAGGCTAGAAGGGAAAACCAAGAGGCTACAGGCCATGGAATCTTATTCTTAGGTCTTTAAGTAAATTACTTTTCCTGTAAGTACATATTTCCTGCTAGATTCCTGTCAATGGTTACCTATATAAATAGTTTACAATCTCTCTGAAAGATTTTAAGGAAAAAACCCATAATACATAATTGAACATCATAATACATAATTTAGAACAAAAACTAACTATGCACATACTCATGGAAATCTGAATAAATACATTTCCCTAACCCCATTCTCCACTCACTCTGCAACTTGCCTCCACAGAAAACAATAAATGTTTGAAGTGCTTTGAAAATGAGAGATTTCGGGATCCTTCAAGTAGCCCAATCCATAAAATCATTAACTTAGTCATTTAACAATTTCTATTAAGTATCACAAAGATTTGGTATAAAATAAAATATAATTTTCCATCATATCTATAAACAGTATGAAAAAGTAAACAGTATCTCGTTTATCAGGAGCTCTGGTGGCATAGTGCCTAAGGCATTTGACTGCTAACCAGAAGGCTGGTGGTCTAAACCACCAAATCAAATTTCAGTAAAATTACTGTCTAGTGAAATTCATAAAAAACAAAAAGCGTACACCCTTTATTCTTCCTCTAACCTCCAATACTTCTATGGAAAGCTGCATGGAGGATAAGATAGATGCCATTTTATCTTTTAATTTTAATGAAATTAAATATGGAAATTTTAATGTTGCCCTTTTCCTTGGCAAATATAAATACAGGCTATGATTATACAGAGATAAAATTCATATGCAAAACACAAAAGCCAAAAAATCAGAGGGGAAAATAAAACAAAAATGTATCTGCTATTTAGAACCACAGAGAAATCAACTGGCATTATTAAATTCATTGTAATGGGGCAACTTCCTTCCATTGCCAGCTCGGTAATCTGCCGAGTAAGCAGCCAGCAGTCCCACCCACCAGTTTCAGACATGTGCAAAGTCAAGGTAAAGAGATGAGTGTATGAATGTGGACCCCAACACCAAAGATTAAGTGCTATGTTGCCTAATTAGGGCCCATTTTAACATTCGGGTCATTAATTGGCCATTTTTAGATATCATGACCTTTTGGATATTATTCACTGAGTACTTTAGGTGAAGTTTAGTGATTCAAAACTTCTACACTCATTTTTACAGTTTTGAATGACATCTGTAGAATAGTAAATGTGATACTAAATATTCACTGTGGTCTAGTTAATCACAACTAAATGAAGGCACTTACTTTGCATCAGCAGTCTGAGACTGTCACTGTACTGATCAGGGAACTGGTAGAGAAGAAGGTAAGTCCAGTGCTTACAGAAAAGATTAAATGGCATCAAAATTTCTCCATCTGGTTCAAGGCCCCAGGCAGTAAGTGCCAAATGAATGGATTCCAGAAGCCTGGTACGATCAGACAGAGGAGGTTTAGTGGAGTATAGCCATTGCTTAAGATCGAACTAAAATGGAAAAAGAAATAAGAACCGATTTTATTTACACTAGAAAATGAATTAAAGTAGAGGTCTGTGCAGATTTCATTTAAAAATTAAAAACGAAATGTATATACAAGCATATAAGAGCATATACAGGAAGTTAAATAATTGATGACATTCTCTGGGATCTCAGAGGCAGAGTTCTCTGTAGCTCTGCAGACCTTTGTGTAATTTAAAGTTATGGACCATTCGTTATTAGTTTATAATTCTACTCCGTTCCTGAATGGTCCGTACATTTGTATCTGTCTAACTAAAGTACATATTCACTATAAGACATGGATCAGAACTCTGTAGTTCTTCTTCAGTGGTCACAGTGCCACAAACAAGCAGCCACTTGACAGAACTGTCTCAATTCAACAGCCATGTTTCTGAGTCTACACAGTTACCTCTTCCAGAAAATAAAACTCCAGAGTACTGATACTAGCTTCCAGAATCCCAAACTATATAAAACATCTTCTCCCTTGATACAGACTGAGATCAGTCTCCCAATCCTAAAAAAATGCCCAAGTTTTACTGATTCATTGGTGTCACCTGCAGATAAAATGGCTAAGGCCATGAAATTCTCATCTGGTTAAGTAAACTCACTGCCTTGGTCTGCAAGACATTCTACCCAAAATGAAAACAATTTGTTCAGATTCAGCTTGTCCTAAATATGAGACTCTGACATGTTCCAATTCCTTTATCAAACACTAGTCAGGCATAAATTCAGAACAAATTCAAAAGAGGGATTATTAAATTACTGATTAGAATATTTTTAAAACTGAACTAAGTTTTTAAAGAGGATTTGGGAGTTAGTCTTTTTTGGGGAGCAGCTAGGTTCTCTTTAAACTGTATGAAATAAGACTGTATAACAAAATAAAAGTAAAGCTTCCATAAAAGGAAGTTTTAGGATTAGGCTGCTCAAAGATTACTCAAAATAAGTAAAGGGCCTATCAGCCTACATTTGCCCTGGAAATAGGCTTCCCTGGCGCCTATCATTTCTATGGGGTGGGAAACAACAATCATCTCTACAGCTAAGTGATAACATCAAGACTGAATCACATCTTACCTTGGTCAGCAGCATGAAAATCATGTCACTATTGTCCTCACTTAGAAACTTGACCACTTTCTCGTACAGCTCAATGAATTCTGTGGGGGCAGCATTGGGAGTGAAGAAAGGAGACAAAAGCGAGCAGAGCCTTCTATTCTTCAGAATGGTCTGAAGCACCTTCTTGCATTCTGATTTAGTGCCACTGATAAACACCTTGAAAGAACAAGGAAGGAAAATGTCACCAAATTCTTCCCTCTCCAACTTGTAATTTAAACAACCAGGTTTTAAGAAGTACTAAATAACCAGAAGGCTGGTAGTTCAAACCCACCAGCTGCTCCACAGGAGGAAGATAAGGCAATCTACTTCTAGAAAGATTTACAACTTTGGAAACTCTATGGGAATCGACTCTACAGCAGTAGGTTGGGGTTAAATAATGTGAATAGAACTTTTTCTAAATGAAAATATAGTCAAAATAGTTGTAAATCAACACAGATAAGCCTATTCTTTCCATTGAAATTGACCGAACATGCAATCAAGATGTCTTGATTATCACTGGTGACTGGAATGCAAAAGTTGGAAATAAAGAAGAGTTACCAGCAGCTGGAAGATATGGCCTTGGTGATAGAAATGACACTGGAGATCGCATGATAGAATTTTGCAAGACCAACTTATTCACTGAAAATACCGTTTTTCAACAACATAAGCCATGACTACACACGTGGACTCCACCAGATGGAAGACACAGGAATCAGACTGACTACATCTGTGGCAAGAGGCAAAGGAGAAGTTCAATACCTTTAGCCAAAACAAGGCCGGGAGCTGATCGTGGAACAGACCATCAACCGCTCATATGCACGTTCAACTTGCAGTTGAAGACGATTAAAACAAGTCCATGAGAGCCAAAATATGATCTTAGTAATATCCCTCCTGAATTTAGAGACCATTTAAAGAAGATATGATGCATTGACACCAATGACCAAAAACCAGAGGAATTGCTGGATGACATCAAGAGCATCACCCATGAAAAAAAGAGGTCATTAAAAAGACAAGAAAGGAAGAAAAGACCAAAATGGATGTCAGAAGAGACTCTGAAACTTTCCCCTGAGTGGAGAGCAGCTAAAGCAAATGGAAGAAATGACAAGATAAAAGAACTGAACAGAAGATTTCTAAGAGCAGCTCAAGCAGACAAAGCAAATTACTATAATGAAATGTGCAAAGACCTGGAGTTAGAAAACCAAAAGAAAAGAACACACTTGGCATTTCTCAAGCTGAAAGAACTGAGGAAAAAATTTAAGCCTCAAATTGCAATATTGAAAGATTCTATGGGCAAAATACTGAATGATGCAGGAAGCATCAAAAGAAGATGGGAGGAATACACAGAGTCACTGTATGAAAAAAAA